AACTCGATACACTTTTCCCATCGATACTCTAACCTCTTTAAACCCCTCCAAATAATAGTTGGCGTCTTGCTCCGCAAAATAGGCGTTTACGTATGCGATGACCTCCTCGTTCGATGAAAATCTCTGTCCTCCAAGTGAAACTTTAAGCTTAGGAAACAAGAAAAAGTCATTGGGGACCAGATCTGATGAATACAGTGGATGGTCAACCAATTCGAAATGCAGTTTGTGAATTTTGACCGCCGAAGTGTGAGCAGGTGCGTTGTCTTGAAGGAACAGCACTTTCTTCTTCTTCAAATGCGGCCGTTTTTTGCAATTTCTGCCTTCAGCTTATCAAGTAATGATGCGTAATACGCTCCCGTTATTGTTTTACCTTTTTCAAGATAGTCAATACACACAATTCCGTGACTATCCCAAAAAACAGTCGCCATTACCTTTCCAGCTGATGGAACCGTCTTCACCTTTTTCGGAGCAGGTTCACCCTTTGCAGTCCATTGTTTTGACTGTTCTTTTGTCTCTGGAGTGTAGTGGTGGATCCAAGTTTCATCTACAGTTATGAATCGATGCAAAAAATTTGACTCGTTTCGCTTGAACCGCTCCAACAGGGCCTTGGAAATGTTCATTCGAATTCGTTTTTGGTCCAAAGTGAGCAAGCGCGGCACCCAACGCGCGAATAGCTTGCGCATATCTAATTCTTCAGTCAATATATGACAAACGCGTTCTTTCGATATGCCCATAGTCTCTGCTATCTCTCTAACCTTGATTCGACGATCGTCCAGTATCATTTGGTGAATATTTTCGATGTTATCAGCGGTGGTCGCAGTTTTTGACCGTTCCGAACGCTCATCATCAGCCAAGCTGATATGACCACGTTTAAATTCAGCTGCCCATCTTTTTACGATGGCAAATGATGGGCAGCTGAATTTAAACGTGAGTCCCCGTAAATAGCGTCTAACTCGATTTTAATTTGCGCAGGCATATTGCTTTTCAAATATAAGAATTTAATCACGGCACGATATTCAATTTTTTCCATTTTTACAAAAACACTGACATCGACTGACACAAACGACTGTCAAACAACAACTGAGCATCCAAAATGGCTGAAATTTTCACAAAAGTCTTTCAAAGCATATACTATTGTAGTACTAGAATGGTTTTGACGAGTAATGTCATCTTCATGTTAAGGCTCAAAACTTTTCAGACTACCCTCGTATGTATATTGTAAATACGTATATATGTGTATCATTGTATTGTTGACGTGTTATTCTAAATACGTTATTTGCGATAAATATCATCACATGCCTCGATAGTCGAAGGGATAAGATGCCTGCCCGATAAGCAGGAGATTCAGGTTCGATTCCTGGCTGAGGTGGTATTTTTTTGCAAAATAATAAATAACGAGTTTTCACGATTGGTTCGTGGTCGGGCCCCACTGTGACGCACACCCTCCCTTCTTATTTGGGCTCCCGAAAATGCTCCAGCTTATGCAAGATAGTTTTATTCACAGAGTCAATGCCTGTATATAAATAAGAGAATTGCACTTCAAACATCTTTTATAAATTTAAACTTTTAATCAGTCCTTTTCAGGGCTACAACTATTATTATTAAAACTTACGAATATCTCTCTGATCAGGAATTGTTTTCTTAAGCTATTATCGCTTGAAGTAAACAATTTCTCACGCGCCTATCATCGATTATCTCCGGGCATGAGTATCTTACCGCGCGCTTGCATTTGCCGGTGGGCCGGGCTAATACGATGATTTTTAATAATTACTAATTCGATAATTGCGAAAAACTGCAAAAATAATATAGAACTTTTCTACTCAGTTAACTTGTACTCAGTAAACTTGATAATTATCGTAAAAATTGCAAAATGATGGAGGACTTTTCTACTTACAAAGGGAACACCAGGTGACTGATCGAGATATTTTGATGCGCTTTATACAGGTTGTTCTTAAGCGAAAAAAGAAATGATACATGTCATCCAGCCGTTCTTACCAATGGCCCAAAGAAATTGATTTTTGAAAAAATGAGTTTAGTCGGCCGATATACGGGCGGAACGCTTTATATGTTTAATCATCACTATTGAGCAAGAGCAGCGGTAGCATAGGCGGTAAGGCGTTGGCTTTGTATGACGTAAATCGTGTGTTCAAATCCTATGCGTATATATTCTTTTATTAAAAATTTTATTAAAAATAGTTCGTATTCGTAATTATTTATTATTTGTAATTATTTTGTTACTGTAGATGTTTAAAAAAATTATTTATTTAAT